TTACCTCTTCAACATGTCTTGAAGTTCTCCAGAAGCCTGGTAATGAACTAATCATTTGATTCAGGCTTGTTGACCCAGGGTGATATCTAAAGCTTGCAGGACACCGGCCCTCGAGATCTGGAGTTCGACACCCCTGCAATATGCTGTCACCATTGAACTGTCATTTCCCATCAGCCCTATGACAGACTCGTGATCTGTCCAATCACAGCTAAAATAGGCTCCAGCTCCACCCCACACATCTGAATTGGATAAGCAGAAATAATGAATAGATGTCAGCAGCCTATTTTTTCACTCTGCAGAGATTATGTTACATTAGCATTTAGAGTCTGAAGAGCTGATTAAAGTTTATTTCTCCATTAAGTTCTGTTAAATGCTTATCTCGGTCCACCTGCTGGCTGCTAACTTTATCTGAATCAGAGCAGATAACCTGTGGATCTGAACACTCCACAGACCCTTCAGTTACTTGCTAATTTTAAACAATTAGCTATTCTGACCGACAGTTCAGCTCATAGATGTTCGTGTAATATTTAGTGTAAAATCTCTTCTATCTTTTTCCCCCATCTCCTACAGCCTCCTCCAACATACGAAGAGAGCATCCGTCAGTCGGTGGAGCTGCCCTACGACATCCTCTCATCCAGCCTGGACGTCCCCTCCGCTCAGAGTTTCTACACCAACACTAGAGCCGTCGTTCAGACTGACACAGCGCCTCCAGCTAACTTTGAGGCCGCCGACAACACCGTCCTACCCGTGTGACGCCGATCAAGCCATCAAGCTTTCTGGTGAATGTGAAGCTGAACTGCGATATTTAACGTAACGCAGATGCAGTTACTAAATCGACTGGATCCTTAACACTTGTGTACAAGATGATTCTGATACCTCAAAACTGACAGAGCTAATGTTGATCATGAGCTGGAAGGCAACCATACGAGGAGCCGCACACCCTGCAGGGAAGGACACGTTTGAATGTTAAAAATACTTTGTGACATTTACTGTGCTCTACCGTGCCCGTGAGTTTGAAAACAGAAACACTGAATACTCATAAAACTAAGGTGGCTGGCACATCTCGAACAGGAGAGGGCAGAACTGAAACATACCAAAAAAAGGGAACGACTATTTACTTTGTTGGTTACAGTGACGTGTATTAAATTCTGTTAATGGACTTATGTTTTCACAGTTAGCTCTTCTCATTTATTCTAATGTCCCCGAACTGGAAACCTCATTGTGTAGTTTTTAAAGAGGTCTGTTTGTTTAGTAGCTGCCGCAAAGCGGGCTTCTTTACCCCGCTGAAGCGATGCAACGCTGCTCTAGCTTGAGAGGGAGAATAAAAAAGGTGCTAATGAGAGTGCCTTTCATGGAATCGAAACTAGACATTCATTACAAAACCTTTGTCTTTACCCCATCTTTTGATTTTTTTTCTATTTACACACAAGATTTTATGTCTTAATGTTCTGTGCGTTATTTTCTCTTACTTTCCATGTGCACGTGTCGTATGTTTGCCCTGCATATGTCTCGTACTGTATTTATTGAAGAAAGATAACTGACATCTTGTTATTTCTCTGTGGAAACAAATGTAATAAATACTTTTATTGCTTTGTTCGTGAATGTTTTTCATTACACAGCCGCAGTTTATGTATGTGGACCACATCCAAACCACTCACAGTGAGGTAAGATTTTATATGCGCGTTTCTGAGTGCATGTTGTTTTGAAAACAAAGGACAAATCAGGAAAATTTCATGGGAGATTGTTGTCTAATTAGTATTTCCCAAACTAATTACCATGAATTTTATTGAATTCTGGAGTTCAATAAAAAAACTGGAATATTTTCAGTTTTTAGGTCCTAATATTCAAAAACAACTTCCTATGGGGAAACATTCCCATTATGGAAAAATAATGACCAGTCTTTCGTTTTTATTGTAGCTTCACAGAGTGGAAAATCCTGAAAAAAATTACATAAAAGTTATAAACTGACTTTTTGTCATTGACTTCAATAAGGATTTGATACTCTATGAAGCTTGGTGAGAAGGCGACAACTGTTGGTGTCATTATTCAGAAATGGAAGAAATATAAAATGAATTCAGGCTCTATGCACGATCTTGCCTCAACAGTGATCAGCCCAAAAAGTAAACAGGTGGAGCTTGTTAATGATCTGAAGGCAGTTGGACCAAAGTACACCACTAGTAAAAATCTACGCTTTATTAAATTGAAATCTTGCTGCGCCACAAGGTCTACCTGCTCAACAAGACACGTATACGGGCCCGTCTTAGCTTTGCTAGTGAACATCTAAATAATTCAGAGAAGGCTTGGGAGAAAGTGCTGTGGTCAGAAAATCGACCTCTTTGCCATCAACCTGACCCAATACGTTTGGTGGAAGAGGAATCCTGAGTGTGTCCCAGAAAACACCATTTTTCCAAACCTGGTGACCAACTACGAGAAACGTCTTACCGCTGTGTTTGCCCACAACGATTTATCTACCAATACTAGATCATGTTTTGCTTGGGAATCAAATTATTATTTCCACTCAGTGACATAAAAATCAATCTATAACTTTTATGTAATGTGCTTTTTTCTAGCTTTCTGGTTGTAGTAATATGAACCGCTACTGAGTTCCACCATATCAGTGAATTACTGTTTTCTTTATATCACTTGTTTTAACCTTTGGCAATATAAAACTCCTTTCTGCTGCAGATCGTGTTCAATGATTATGTCGACTGAACTGTGTTTCATTCCATATAATACATGCAGTAATCTTGTCTCTAGGATATTTAATTTAGATCTCATTGATATTAGTTCTGTAAAAGCACTGCAATAAAGAACCGGCAGCTTTGTTTTGCGCTACCTGCAAGGCTTTATTTCTATTGCTGAAGCACTTGAGGGGCTCACACAAGAACAATAAAGCTGAGGCAGAACTAACGCAGCCAAAGCATCAAGTCTGAAACTCTTCTGACCACTGACAAACCTTTAGCAGTTTACTTGCAATATCTCCTGCACTTCACCTGGAGTACTATTAACACTCAGTCTATGCATTTGTGACTTAGCAACATCTAACACCTGTTTATTAACCTTTTACAACCTTCAACTACTTATTTAGTATTTCATTTATCAATCGATGGTTCAGCTGCATTGTTTAGTCATCAGGAAACACTGATGACTTCCATTTGTATTAACAATCCCAGCCATTGTTAATACAAATGGAAGGTCTTAATAAAGACTGAAAATTACACAAAATATCTAGCTTGAGGTATTCCATACCTTACATTCACTATACTGACAAAGGTATTCAGTCACCCATCCAAATCATTGAATTCAGGTGTTCCAATCACTTCTGTGGCCACAGGTGTATAAAATCAAGCGTCCAGACATGCAGACTGCTTCTACAAACATTTATTAAAGGATACATCGCTTTCAGGAGCTCAGTGACCTTTAGAGGTGTACGGTCATTGGATGTCACCTGTGGAACAAATCCACTCGTGAAATTTCCTCACTAATAAATATTCCACAGTCAGCTGTTAGTGCTATTATAACAAAGTGGAAACAACTTGGGAACGACAGCAACTCAGTCACAGAGTGGTAGCCCATGTTAAACCACAGAGCGGGGTCAGCAGATGCTGAGGATCATACGTTGGGGTCGCCAACTTTCTACAGAGTCAGTCACAGACATCCAAACTTCACGTGGCCTTCAGGTTAGCTCAAGATCGGTGTGCAGAGAGCTTCATGGAATGGGTTTCCATGGCTGAGCAGCTGCAACAAAGCCTTACATTACCAAACACAATGCAAAGTGTCAGGTGCAGTGGTGTAAAGCATGCCGTCACTGGACTCTAGAGCGGTGGAGGTGTGTTCTCTGGAGTGACGAATCATGCTTCCCCATTTGGCATTCTGATGGACAAGTCTGGGTTTGAAAGGACAACACTATTTGTCCGGCTTCATTGTACTAAATGTAAAGTATCAATCAATCAACTGATTTCACTTGCAGACTTCAAAAGACATGCAAATGTTTTTGTGAAATCATCACTGGGAATTGTTGTTGTATTTGATATGACTGTGTGAATTAGACAAATTTAGCTATTTTATTATTTCTTGTATTGTTGTAATTTTAATGTTTGTCCGGAACAGATCTGCCTTGTAAATGAGACATTGAGTTTCAATGGGACAACCTGTATAAATAAGGGTTAAATAATTTTTTTTTAAAAAAGGTTTGGTGGAGTGGGGATTATGTTCTGGGATTGTTTTTCAGCAGTTGGGCTTCAGGCCCTAGTTCCAGTGAAACATGACTGCACACCAGTGCACAAAGTAACATCCATAAAGACATGGATGAGCGAATTTGGTGTGGAAGAATTTGGTCTGCGCAGTCCTGACCCCAACCTGAGAGAAAACCTTTGGGGGAAATTAGAGTGGAGACTGCGAGCCAGACCCATCTCGTCCAACATCAGTGTCTTACCTCACAAATGTTCTTCTGGGAGAATGTTCAAAAATTACCATAAACACTTCTAAACCTTGTGGAAAGTCTTCCCAGAAGAGTTCAGGCTGTAAATCCATATTAAACTTTATGGATTAGGAACGGGATGTCACTCAAGTTCATTTGCGTGTGAGGGCAGACGAGGCAAACTTTTGACAATATAATGTGCCTTTTTAACAATAGACAGCCGTTACACAGTAAAACAAATGTTACGGTGAAACATGTATAATCAGAGGCAGCAGTTTAAGCTGATGCTGAGATGACAGTGAACTTCCAGTATGCAAGGATTAAATCTAATATATCTGCGCTTCAAGTCTTGCAAGTGTGCCCTTAATAGCAGAAATGATATCAGGTTTATCAGATTTAGTTAGTCTGTGTGCGCTGAATGAACCTGTGCATGTAAAATAAATCCAGTGGCATAAACTGATTTGCTGCAGTGCAAGAAAATGTAAATACACAAGTGAAACAGTCGCATTTTTAAAACTTGAATCCAAACTACAGATTTGCCTCTTTAAGACAGCATAAAATACTGTTACCTTACCAAGATGGTCGCGAGCTCTGCCCATTAATGAGCCGCTTTCGTCACTCACGGAAAAAAACGAAACTGCACGAGCAGCCGACTGTCAGTCTGGTATGTAAACAAGGTCAGACACAGACTGCAGAACAGAGACCAGACACTTTTAGACCCGGCAGCTTCTCGCTTAAAGAAAGAGGCAAGAGGAAAACCGAAGAGCTTCAACAAAACTCCGCGGATCCCGGTAAGCTGCAGGTCAGCTGGCGCCTTATTACTAACCGCGCTGTTTCGCAGGACGCACTGCAGGGGACGAATTATAGGACAACAACGCTATAAATGCATGAACCTGTCATTTTGTTGTGTGGACATTGGTGGTAAAAATCAGTCTGCAACGTCTGCAAAGAGGCATCTTTGCACATGTGATGCGAATCTGCCGCAAAGTCACTCAGCAGATTTGTGTTTACCTCCTGCGCAGTCATCAGCTGCCTGCGAACTGGGTCGCTCTCACTCTGCAAAAGCTGCATGGTCATGCTTTCCCACAGCATTAATACAAAGCGAGCACTTCCCCATCGTTAGACGTGTCGTCTAAAAAAAATTGAGTCTTTCATTTGATTTTATGTGTTGTGATTGCTGTTGTTGTTTTCCTGTGTGACGCAGCATTGACGTGTATGTACAGGTGCGTGTTGTTGGTAGATTCCTGAGTGGTGCAGCTTAGTTTTGTATATGAAAGTGGGCCTAACCAGCGCTATTTCGAGCCGTCTTCAAACTGCACAGAAACACAGTTTATTCACATGAAACAAGGGGTGATATTACATGCAAATACAGGCTTTATTAATTGCATTGTGTTGTGTTTTGTTGTGGGGGGGTTTTGTACGTCCTGCTCAGCCTGAGAACCAGTTTTGTCTGGTCATGATAATTGATGCAGTGCCAACCAGACACAGACTGAGCTCACACTGTATTCTTCTGCAGATGATGAGGGAGAGAAAAAGGCCAGAGTGAGTGACATACAGAGTAAATAAGGCAGGGAGACAGAAAATCTGGGCCTTTCCTGCCTCAGACTGCTTGTTTTTATCGCTTTACTGCTGCTCAAGTTAATAATCACTGCTGTTCTCTGCTTCTGCTCGATGACCTTCTTAAAGACTTTGTGCTCTGCATACGTGTGGCATCTATGACTTCATTAACTTTGTTGATCCTTTATATAACTTGCCAAAACTCCACCGCTGCATCCCTCACCTTTTACTGTTATTGTTACGTCCTGATCTCCAAAAGGCCATGTGATGTTTCCATCATCGTCATGTATTTACTGATTTACTTGACCTCCCAGTGTTTTGGAACTAAACATTGCCCATTTTCCACTTCAGCATTCACCTCCTAGAAGACACCAAGGACAATAACAAGTCCTTAGGGGTTTGAGGAGCAGCAGTGAGATAACTCACTGCTGTTTTTACTGCCATGGAGTTGCCATCAGATTTCTGAGATGTAGCAGATTGTGCATAAATGCTTCATTACCGCGTAATGCTGCTTGTCAGGATGACACATGGTCTGGACAGGAATGAATGAATGGGTAGTTTGCTAAAGCTAAATTTTTTGTGTGTTTTGTGTGTCATGTTAGGACAGGCCAGCCAAAATGATGCAGTGTTTTCACTTCATGGTGGAGCCGGCCAAAAACCTGACGGCCAAGATCAAGGTAACCCATTTCTGTACACTCTAATAAAAATATTGTGTGTTTAATGTTCAAACGTGGCCCCTGGCAGGAGGTCACGTTTATACTCAGGTAGACAGCTGACATAATACATTTTTTTTATAATCTTACCTGTTTGGTGTTGGTGTTTGGCTTAATGTAAGTAAAAAGGGGGGTTACTCTATGCAGGGAGTTGATGTGATGAACTGAGACAGAGGCTGTTTTTTTCTGCTGACAGGATCAGAGCCCCGATGTGCATTTTGATTAGGCTAAGTGACCGCCCCCTTTCCCAGTTGGCCTTATTACTTTCTAAAGCCCTTGTGAACCAGCACTAATGCTGTCTAAATGTCTTTCTTTGTGGCTCGAACACTCGTCTTTACTCCAGCATTTTCTCACGGAAAATCCTTTACTTGTATTTTCCTCGCAGGATTCGCACAAGAGGGCAAAGAAAGAGAAGAGGGAGCCCCTGGATGAGGACCAGTTGTTCGTTGTGGAACTGGCTAGAGACATCGGCCGAGTGTGTCAGGTAAAAACGTCTTGTGAACCTGAACTGATGCTTGCATTCCCTCACTGTCTTAGTGTGCGCTTTCAGGATGAATGGGATTGTGTCATTGTAACAGTTTTCTCTTAATGCCAAAAGTGACGCTGATCATCACTGTTGTTTACAGCCTAATGAAGGAATTATTAAACTCTGAAATAATTAGCAGTCTTCATCAATCCAGTGTTTTTCTCTCCATTTTACCCTTGCAGAGATCAGCAATGCTGGAGCACATCTGGAACCAAAATGACATCTGGCCAACTCCTCTCTGCAGGGCCTTCATCCTACAGTGGGCCTCCATGCTGGAAAGCAAGGTGTTTAACTGAAAAGTACCAAAGCATCATTTGTGTGGGAAGTGATATACTATTGTTTTGCCATTGATTGGCTGTATTGCACAAGCCAATGATAATTCAAATACACTGTGGAGTCAAGGATGGTCGCAAACAGTCATATGCAGGACAAATTATTCTAGTTCAACCACAGACAGTAAAGATGAATGTAGCTTCTGGAAAAATAAAGTCAATGTGGAAGTGGAACTTGCATTCTAAGTGAAGGCCACCAGATGGCGATAGCTGTGTTTGAAAAAAGACTGAGTCCTATTGAAGTTTCCCACTTGACACCATGTGCATATTGTGTGAGACTTGTCCAACATATTGGACCTGATACAATCATGCAAAGAAGAGACTTCCCCAAAACCTTGCAGTGATTACTTGAGCTAGCAGACTAGAGTTGCCTGCAGTTTTACATGCTTGTCTACAAATATTTGCTAACCACTAGCTTAGTGATAGTAAGGCTGACACTTCTGGTTTGTGTCACACTTTTACAGTTACCCTACAGCCTTACTGTAGCCTTACTTAAGTCCCTTACTTTCATCCAAACTACCACTGCAGCAGTCACAAGGAGGTTTTGCCAACCAGTTGAGGAATACACATTTTTCCCAAAGTAACACGTGGTTGCTAGGAGGTCACTGATTAGTCAGTAAGACTTTGTTAATGGGGCTTTAGCAGTCATTTTCATATAATAATTTTCCCCTCATGACCAGGTCTCTAGTACTGTGTTACTGGGACTTTAGTGGTCCTACACTGTCGCCATGATTTTTGCACATCCATAATGATTGCAAAACCTCAATAGAAGTCTATGGGAAGATTTCTGTCTTGAAAGTCTTGGTTAAATCATGTTTTAGCAGGATTATCTGCGGTATTATCAGCTCATTCACTGGCAGTGAGTTGTCGGTTGCAAGCAATTAGCTAGCAAGCAAGTGGTGTCACAGGTTGATACGTCTTTACATTCAGTTTTTTGATACCAAGATGGTGCCGGTGAAATCGCTCACCACTACAGAAAGTCGCCGTAGCTATGTCCACCTTTTGTACTTTCTACAAGTTCTCTACAAACAGCAAATGAGAAATTTAAGCTCAGAAGTATCATGACTACATACAGTAACCAGCAGTAATCATTGCCTTAAAAAGCTTGAAAATATATTTACATGTCAGTATGTCATAGCATTGACCATACTACTGATGTTAGCCTCAACTATGCCTTTCTAATAGATCTGGACAGGAATGAATGAATGGGTAGTTGATGGAGTTGGATGTCTCGAGACCACTTTTATGTGGTCTTGGTCTTGGATCCCTCGGTCTCGTCTTCGTCTTGCTGTCTCGGTCTTGCTCTCTCAGATCGACATAGTGGTCGGGAGATTTGGAGTCAACAGTATCCATGACACACAACATAACGTTCGATAATGTTTCATACGCAAAAGCATCAGCTCTAAGAGCTGTGCTTACAGAGTGCTTTGTAGTGAATCAGAAGAGTCGACTCCCATTGAGCGAGAGCCGGCTCCTCACTTAATTTCCTTTCGCTGGTCAGCTTTCACACAGTGGCCCAGCTATGCTCCAATCCCTCCATATTGTGGCCAATCACATGCAAGGATATAGGATAATATCATTATGTGACAAACAGAGAGGGTGAGAGACGCGGCAGTCAAGTGGAGAGTGCGTCTGTCCTCTCAGTAAGTGAGTGAGACAGTAGACAGCGGTGAGGAGGGCTGTGCGAGTGCATCGCAAAAACACATACTGTAAATATGCCTGACACCTGTAAACGAACCAGCATCTAGCTGCAGTTTAAAGACTTTTTAGTCTCGGTCTTGGACTCGTCTCGACTTTGTCTTGGTCTTGACTCTGTCTGACTTGGTCTTGGTATTGCCTTGGTCTTGGTTTAGGCGGTCTTGACTACAAGTCTAGTAGTTGAATGGCCAGCTAATAGGATGATCAGTAAGATCATGGTCGTTACAATCTAAAAAGATACAACGTGTGACAGAGCGATAGTTCAAGCTATCACATGATTTGGCATTCCAGGAAGTTCTCACTTTATTATTGTATGCATGCACTGGGAACCTTGTGTTAATGACTTTGCTGAAAGGGTTGAATTGAATATTGGTGAGAGTGTAAGTAGTGTGCATGAAGGTTATGCTGAGAAAATGGAAATGTGCCCATAAAATGACAAATGTGACCTTGAGCAGACTTTGGAAGAAGTAAGCTGAATTAAAACCTGACCAAATATGATCAAATCTTATGAATTGTGAACATGTGGACAGTCAGATGACCTAAAAGGAAACATCAGATTCCTGCAGAAAATTAATAGTCACAGTAGAACTACACGTCTTTTAGGTATAGAGGTATATTTAATAAATGTGTGTTTTTCTCTGTGCAGATGAGACCCATGCAGACTGATGGCTGGCCAGAGATGAATGAGGGCAAACAGCCCGATGTGACGAGTGAGAAGGACCTGCAGCAGGCCAAAGCTGTTATTCTCGAATGGATCAAGGATATAAGAGCCCAGCCTGAGGTGGGAGGTTCAGACATACAACTAATATTTCCTTCAAAACAAAAAATAAGTTTGCTCATTGTTTTTTATTGACATTGATCATTCTGCAGCAAAGTGTGTGGCCCGGAGAACCAGTGGTGAAGAATCTGGAGGACGTGCAGTCCGCCTGGCGCTGGGGCCGTGCTCCCAATCTGCTGACCGCCATGGAGCTGCTTATGTGGACTTTAATGTTACAGCGGCCTGACAAGGTAGAAGTTCTTTCTGTAATCCACAGGTCAAACTTTACAGCTTGCATGACTCGCTGCAGTTAATCAATGAGGCCTCTTTGTTGTTTGTTCCTACAGGACACCATCCCACAGCAGTGGCTTCTGTGGAAACAGAAGACTCAGAAGATCGGTTTGTAAATCGTAAATCAAGCTGACTTTGGTTGTTTCTTTGGAAATATTTACCCTCTTATGAGTTTATCATTCTCTTTTTCCAGGTGCCATATCCTACATCCCTCAACCAGGTGAGATACTGTAGACCACGAATCACACATTACTATTCCCATGCTGGTGCATTTACACTATTAGATCCACTTACTTTTATTTTCCCTTTTTTTTGGCAGTGTGGGATTGGATTGCAGATGCTGCAGGTACAAAATTAAATATTTAATCAGCTTTTTTCCCCCATATAATCTTTGCTCAACCTGTTTTGTAATTTAAACCTCTTCACATTTCCCCTCTAGTGGAGGTGACCCTGGATCTGGACACGGCCAACCCTGATCTGCTCATCTCTACTGATGAGAAAAGGATGCGCTGTGGCTTTGAGAGAAAAGATATTCCCAACTACCACCAGCGTTTTGACGGTTGGTGGTGTGCCGTTGGAACGGAGGGCTACGGCACTGGTCGCCACTACTGGGAGGTGGAAGTGGGAGAGCGAGACTGGCGGCTGGGCGTTGCTAAAGAGTCGGCCCTGAGGAAAGGTTTTAAGTCGCTGAACACAGATACGGGGTACCTGACCTTGCGGCTGGAGAGGGGCACTGAGCTTAAGGCGCTGACGGTGCCATTCACCGCGCTGCCACCCGGCCTGATCCCCCGCAAGGTGGGCGTCTACCTCGACTATGACAACAACCAGCTGTCCTTCTATGATGTGGACAAACATTTCCACATTTACACCTACAACGAGAGCTTCGATGAGAAGCTTTTCCCACTGTTTGGCACAGTGGAGATCATCAAGGATCTGGTTATCAGGTCTCCAGCAGCCAAAACCCAGTGTCTGTGCTCCACATCTTGCATGTGGGGTTGAGTTTCCCTCCGTGGGCATTTCCTTTAAAAAAAAACATCAGTAGACATCATAGTGAAGTATAACAATCCCAAATCACAGGGAGGTTGCAAAAGACCTTAAATGTGCTACTGAATAGCTTCACTTTGTGACCACTCTCTATGCTGCTGCTTTAATGTGATTGTTGCTTCCATTTTCTCACTACAGAGTTATAGTGCAACCCTTTTGCTCACATACGTGATGAAATGCCATCTAATGAAATGCCGTCATCTTCTTTCAAGAGAAACCTATAGTGTTAATGTGATGTATTGTGCATTATTAATCCAGCAATAAAATGCACTCGTGTGAATAATAAATAAACCAAATCTATGTCTTGATGCTTCATGTCTTTATTGATACTACTGATATTCTGTTTGGTAATGTATTTAAAATATATACAGTTATATACAATTTATACACTCATCATTGGCATGAATGTTGTGTAAATTTTGGATTTCTTATTATTTCTTTGAACTGTCCTTTTTCCAGAGTGCAATGATTGTACGGCATATGTTTTGAATGACTGTAAAAAACAAGAATTGAGTGCACAAGTTTGAATTTATTATCCTTTCTTTTATTTGACGGGCATGGATTAGTATTTTTTCACCAACAAGGAGGTTCCCAAAAAGCTATTAGCAGAAAACTTAGCACATCTAAGTTAAGGGAAAAGGCTGAGCCATTCCAAATGACAAAAGAACTGGATTGAAAGTCTGTGACAACAGGTCTTAAAGAGTGATGAATGTGAGTTTGAAGTATTTGGTTGAAATTGTTGTCAATATGTATGGGAGAAGTCAGGAGAGAAATACAATAGTGAGTGTCTACAGCCATCTGCAAAATGGTGGAGGCCCTGTCATGTTTTGGGGCTCTATTTTAGCTAGCAGTGTTGGGGATCTAATCAAGATTGATAAAATTAAAAGCAGAAAGAAAAAAAAACTGAAAAAAAGAACTAGATTACATTATAATCTATGATGCAACAAAACCTTGAAAACATTTGATTGGTAGTGGCTTCATTTTTCAACATGACGATGATCCTAAACAATGTAAATGTACGGAAGAGGATTAGGGCCACCAGAAAAAAGTGGGCACGTCTTTTTTCTTCTATTCCAGAGTTCTGAGGAAAAAGTCAGAATTCTGAAAATAGTTCTTTTCTTTTTTCCTCATTTTTTGACTGACTTTCTTTTCTCAGAATTCTGACCTTAATCTCAGAACTCTGACTTTTTCATCAGAATTATTTTCAGAATTCTGAGAGGGAAAAAAAAGAAAATTCTGAGAAAAAAGTCAGAATTCTGAGATTACAGTCAGAATTTTGAAAATAATTCAGAGGAAAAAAAGTCAGAATTCTGAGGGGGAAAAAAAGAAAATTCTGAGAAAAAAGTTTGAATTCTGACCTTTAATTTTCCATAGAATTCAGACTTTTTTACTCAGAATTCTGGAAAAGAAGAAGAAAAACAAAAAAACATGTGCCCACTTTTTCCCCCCAGTGGCCATAATCCTCTTCCATACTAATCCTCTTCAGTACAACTACAGAATTTTTCCATAATTTGCATGTGACGTTTGTATGGTTTAAAGGTCCTTATTTATTTATTTATTTATTTATTTATTTATTTATTTATTTATTTTTAGGAAATTCAGGACTTATTTGTTATCGATAGATAGAAGCTGAAAGGCGTATCAGCGGGACCAATCACAGAACTCTAACTCTTTCACCATGACAAAATGCAGATACAAAATAACGCATACAATTTTAATCAAAAAATTAAATCAAATAATTCTATAACAAATATATTCAAACTGAATTTAACGCCGTTAAAAGAAGCAAACAAACAAAATATTTCTTTACATTTTTTTTGTGTTTTACGCGCCCGTGATGACGCAATCACTGCGCGACGATGCCTAAGAAGATTTATATGAGTTCCCAGCAGGTAGTCAAACGATGACAACAAATTTAAAACAGGCCTTAAAAACCCACTTTGGGTTCGACAACTTCAGGTCTAAACTGCAGGAAGATGTTGTTAAAGCAGTACAAAGAGGTAAGTCGGCTCATTTTTCCTGTCTGCCTCTCTGTTAGATGAACGTTAGCAAGCTAACATAACTGCTGTTTGTCTTTAGTTTTGAATGTGAGGTTCAGTTGGTTTTCACAGACAGCGAGAGACAGAATAATGTGTAACACGGTGGTCTCTGTGGTCTTCCTGCAGGTGACAGGGATGTGTTTGTGTGCATGCCTACTGGAGCAGGAAAGTCGCTCTGCTACCAGCTGCCTGCAGTGCTTGCTGAGGGCATTACTCTGGTTATATCCCCGTTAATCGCTCTCATTCAGGTTAGCGTCTGTCTCTAGCTCCTGAGCTCCAATCCAAAACCTTCAAATAAGTTTTGCAGTATCAGGTTTGCTTTAACCCCTGTTCGTGTTTCTATCCAGGACCAAGTGGATCACTTGAAGGAGTTAAACATCCCTGCCTGCTCCATCAACTCTAAGCTCCCAGTGAGTGAGCGCCGGTTGATCCTGGCCGACCTGGGGAGCAGCAACCCGAAGCTAAAGCTTCTCTACATCACTCCAGAGATGGTGGCCTCGCCCGCGTTCCAGCCCTGCCTGATGGACCTGTGCTCCCGTGGCTTGCTGTCTTACCTGGCTGTGGATGAGGCTCACTGCGTCTCGCAGTGGGGCCATGATTTCCGACCAGACTACCTCAAGCTGGGTGAACTGCGGGCTCGATTGCAAGGAGTTCCCTGTTTGGCCTTAACAGCAACAGCACCCAAGAATGTACAGGAGGACATCATTCAGTCCCTGAGGCTGTCCTCGCCGCTTTCTTTTCTTACACCCGTCTTCCGGAGTAACTTGCACTATGATGTGATTTTCAGGGAGCTGCTGCCAAACCCATACGTCCACCTTTGTGCCTTCATTAAGAAAACATTATCACTCGGAGGTGGATCTAACGGACAGGTTTGTAGACTGTAGGCTGTCATGTGTTATCCTTTTTACAAACAGAAATATTCAGATAGAGTAGCGACAGTTTGCCTAAGGGGTTTACATTTTTGGCCACAAGTTTAAAAATACTCATCATGGGCATGAATGTCATGCAAATTCTGAGCTTTTAATTACTTTTTTTTAAACTGTTCTTTTTGCATTGGGGAATGATTGTATGTGACTTTAAAAAACAAGAATTGGGTGCAAAATAATTGACTTGGGATTTTCTCTGATCCACACAATGTCGAAAGTGTAGATACAGGCTCCATAAATAGATACAACCCCTATAATTAGATTAGATTAGATCAAATGTCCCTTAGCAAGTTGCATGTTGACCAGATGCTTTTGGTACCCAACAGTTAGCTTCTAGTTTAATTCTGGATGGATATTTGAATACTTATTGTGGCAGAATTGGTAGAGTTCTTTAAAGTGGTTGATTTCCTATCAATTCCCATCCTTAAGCATCACTTATAAAAAGGTTTAAACGACTTTGCCATTTACATTTAAAAAAATAATAATAAAATAAAACAAACAAAATAAACCAAAAAAAAAAACAGAACAAGTTTTTAATTATTGAAGCATTTTAGCACCTGTATGTTTTACTTCTAGAATGACTTTTTGTTAAATTTTATTTCAGGATTGTTTGTGTGCCTTTTCTCTGTTTTATAACATTTCTGTTGTTATTAACGGCTTGATTGAGCTCACACAGCATTTTCTTGTGTGAATACAACTGATTTTGTTGCCTAGAGTGGAGGAATAACACTCTTTGCCATTTTCTTTCATGCAAACTCTGGCTTAATCAAACTGTCTGGTGTTCGTAAACAGGGATGTGGGATTGTGTACTGTCGGACCAGGGAAGGTTGTGAGACGGTAGCTCACCAGCTGACGAAGCTTGGAGTCGTAGCTAAGCCGTATCATGCAGGTAAAATTATTTTATTTTATTATTTTTTTTACCTCCTTTTTTTTTTTTTTTTTTTTCCCCTTTTTTTTTTTTTTTTTTTTTTTTTTACATCTATATAAACTGATCAGGCATACGATTATGAGCACAGACAGGTAAAGGGAATAACACTCATTAATCCTTCATTGTGGCACCTCATAGTGGGTGGGAAATATTAGAGAGCATTTTGTCCTCAAAGTTCATGTGTTAGCAGGAAAAGACTGGATCAGAGCATCACCAAAACGACATCTCTTGTGCGGCGTTCCTAGATGCAGTTGTCAGTATCTATGAAAAGTGTTCCAAGAAAGGAGCAGTGGTGAACCGGGGGTAATGAAGGCTGGCTATCCAAGAGATTAGCTACTGTAGCTCAAATTGCTGGACCAGTGAGCAATGGAAGAAGGTGGCCTGGTCTGAATCACATTTTTTGTGGATGGTCAGATGCTTAGTTACCTGGGGAACAGGATACCAGGATGCACTATAGGAAGAAGGTGAGCTGGCAGAGGCAGTGTTGTGCTTTGGGCAATGTTCTGCTGGGATCCCTTGGGTGACTTTGGGTTACTTTGACTTGTACCAACTACCTAAGCATTGCTTCAGACTATGTTAACCCCTTCATGGGACTTGTATTCTCTGATGGCTGTGGCCTGTTTGAATGGTAAATGGCCTGTATTTGTATAGCGCTTTACATGTTCAGTCATCCACCCATTCACACACACATTCACACACTAGTGATGGCAAGCTACAGCCGCCACAGCTGCCCTGGGGCGCACTGACAGAGGCGAGGCTGCCTCCCACCGGGCCCTCTGACCACCACAAGTAGGTAACGGGTGAAGTGTCTTGCCCAAAGATGTGCTGGACAAACAAGTCCAATCCACGGAGGCCCAACCTCGCAACTTACAGGACTTAAAATATCTGCTGCTAACATCTTGGTGCCCAACACCACAGCACACCTTTCTGGGTCTAACGGAGTCCCATACCTCGATGGGTCAGGGCTGTTTTTTGGCAGCAAAAGCAGAATGAGCACAATATTAGGCAGCTGGTCATGATGTTATGCCTGATCTGTGTATAGGATGTGTAAAATTTAGTGTTTGAGCTCTACTTTTGTAGGCTTGAAGGCAACAGATCGGACAGGGGTACAGAATGAGTGGATGCAGGGGAAAGTGCTGGTTATTGTGGCTACCATCAGCTTTGGCATGGGAGTAGATAAGGCCAATGTCAGGTGAGGCTGCAAATGCACAGTTATCACTCGCATTCTTCTTGTATCTAGTTTTTTTTTTCCTGCCATTGTGTATTCAAATGTTTCTGCAGATTTGTAGCTCACTGGAACCTCGCTAAGTCTCTGGCCAGCTACTACCAAGAGTCTGGGCGAGCAGGGAGAGATGGCCTGCCCTCCGCCTGTCGCACATACTACTCCCCGAGAGATAAGGAGCAAATTAATTTCCTCATTCGGCAGGAAGTGGCAAGAAAGCAGGTCAGATTAGCAGCAGAGCAGGATGGAAAGCTCTTTGCTGCACAGTTTTTATATGTGTTTAAATGTGTCTGCAGGAAAAACGGGGCTTTGCAAAGGACACTGACAAAACCGCAATGACTGACTTTGAAGCCATGGTGTCTTTTTGTGAACAAGAAGGGTAAGTAAAGGATTCACACATGCGGTGACAGGTTATAATTATTGTTATTTTTATTATTATTTACATACAGATCAAAGCATAACTGACAATAAGTGCAGGCTTAAAGCATTACATCACAACACAACGCCTTCACCTGTTCCACAGTATGTAACGTGCAGTTTTAGATAAAGAGTGCATTTCTGTTTCTGGACAGCAGAGGGCAGATTTCCTCTCTTACCATCCTTTGAAAGCTGCTTCCTGCTTGAGGCTCTTGACTAACTCAGAAGTCTGACTGCCAGTTCTCATTACTTTAGAGTGACACATCATTATGTTTAGAAGGCTCTGAGAAAAAACAATCCAATCGGGCATTCCCAGTCATTTCTCACTGTTTGCCTAAAGTTAGTTTCATACACGTGTTCAGTCCTGTATGGTCCAAGAAGTTTCTGCCTGATTCACACACAGCTGGAGTTGGCCCGGCCCTGTCCTCAGGGATCGCTGTTGGGAGTGCAGTGATGCTCCAAGGAATGTGGACTCTCCTGAAAGCCTGTTGACTCGAGCAGGTGTGTTTGGCAGCGTTGCAGGACATCCTTTACGGTGTTTGGCAGGTGTTTTGTTGTCCAAGGGTTGAGGTTCTTTAGTGCTGCACAGCATGCACCCTGTACAATTCTTGTGTGTGTGTGTTTCTAAAACACGATCAGGACTCGCTGTGTGGAGAGCTTGCAGTTGTGTCTGTTTTTGCTCAAAGGTCGGGACCCTTTAGCTTCCTCTTGCGACAGCAGCAGCTGCAGCAGCCGCAGCAGAAGCTCGCGCAGGTCACCACTGTGATGAGCAGGACTACAACTGTGGGAGAGCAGCAAATAAACAATGTCATGACCAGCTTATTGATGAACAAGCAATGTGGGGGGAAAAAAAACATATCGACCAAAAACTCACGAATAAAAGTTAGCAGGACGAAGAAAGCTCCCAGCTCTATGGGGTTGGCGTTGGGCAGACCTTGAAGCTTGACCCAGATTCTGCCAAGGAGGTTCAGCGTCTGTTCTCTGGCATCCATCCTAGTGAAGACAGGTATACAGCACCTCTTTTATTTCCCTTGCAATCTAGGTATTTCTCCTGTTGCTCACTGGTGACACTGTGAGTGGGGCGAGGTGGAATTGCTATTTACATGTCAGAGCTAAGCAGTTTTTCAGCCTGTGGTTTAGTGGGCGGGTTGTCATGAGAAGGCAGGAATCTCACTGCCCGAGAAGAAACGTGTGTCTGATAGAAAGCGGTAAATGCACTGGTGCTTTTTCTGTGCCTGAACAATTTTAATCCAACCGGGTTTAAAAGTGTTCTGGAGGAACAATATTCTGCTCTGTCATGCAGGCTGTAAGAGGTGGGGATCGAACCGCCGACCTTCGATTAATAGAGAAGCTGCTCTGTTTATGAGAGTATCGTAAACAGACGGGCTGATTCACATATGGGTTGAGTTAACAAGAGGAACAGAACGAGGCCCTTCTCTGTGATAAATGTGTTAATCAGACGGCTCTGCAGACACTTCAGTGTGTGCAATGGGCGGTGGTAGGGTGGCAAGTCATTGAGCTGGTGCTGAATTGCTGGAATGGGTGTGACAGCGTGTGGCATTTCTAGTTTTGAGAGTTCTTTGTAACTAACACTTGCAGTACGAAGCATAAAAGGATAAAAACTATTGAAAATAACTACAATATGAGTTATTACACTGGCACTGAGGACAAAGCCTGGAAACTTGGGGGTCAACATGACGTCTTGATAATTCAGAGGAGTTATGGTAGTGTATGGTAGTGTATCCTCCTTCTGATCACATGCTTTTGAGTATTCTGGATGTAAACATCCTGGTTCCAGAAGTGTGGATAAGGTGGTAATACTATCCAAAGTACACTGTTAGAAATCAGGATACTGTGGCATACCTTAGCCAGGTTTCACAGCTTTCTTTGTTCTCAGTGGCCGAGCTGGTGACAGATCAGATCAGGGATCAACTCCACCCACAGGATCTGTAAACCTGCACTGTGTAATTTATGCAAGTGTATGTGTCTCGTGTTCCTTGTCAGAAACCTGTATCACATATACTCAAAACCAGGATGAGATCGGGGGAAGATTTGCATGATCACAAGCTAACTTGTCCTTCCTGGCTTTGAAAATTTAAATGTGGGGAAAGGTTGTGCTGCATTGCTTTAACTGTGTATAAGTGTAATGTGTTGTTTCCAGTAAAATCCAGTAATACATATCTGCTCTGCTCACTGGAAAAAAGCCACAGAGCTAACTCAGTACTTTTATAAAAACAGCTTAAATGGGCCACATGTATTATAGCTATGCTACACACAGTGATGTGGGAATTTAATGCTACAAAATATTTTCATGCTATTTTTTAAAAATCCTAGTATGAAAGTGTAAGTCAGGAGAAAAGGAAGGATTGATTTTCCAACCATGCGGACTGTTCCTACCTGAGACCGTGAGCTTGTGTGGAACGCGATGCTGATTAATAACAGATTTTGGAGCTGACTGTATGTTCGTTAAAACGATGAACAGTATTTACAGATCACATGCATGTGACTCTGAGAAATTCTCTATTTTTAAACACATTTTACACATTCGTCTACTTGAATTGTTTTTCTCACGCTGCGCTCGCACAGAAACATTTAAAAGCACTTACCTGCTGATCGGAAACTTCTTGTTGTTTCTTTGTTTGTTTGTTTAGTTTGGGGTTGTTTTTTTTTTGGTTTTTTTGTGAAACTTGGCCGAGCCTAAACTGTCAGAAATCGCAAAACCAGTTGGCAATTAGGAGTCGGTCGGAAACGTGTCATTCTCTTCTTTCCCCTGACGGAGCTGCCAGCTGAGTGCCTTTGCTTTAGGCTGCGTGCTAATTTGTTTGTGGGGACGTCATCCGGAGGAGGAGTGGTGCTCGGGCGAGCCTGAGATTAGCGGTGGAGGTTGAGATATAGTTAAGAGGGTTAATTCCACTGTCACTGATGACAAACTGCACGTGAGGGGGGGAAAGTAGACGATAACAAATTTCATCCAGCGCTCTTCTGCCCTCTTTCACGCTGCTCTGACTCCTCAGTCGCTTTGAGTCTTCTCATCTCTTCCCCTCTTCCAGGCTTCTTGTTGCTCCCTTTGTTTGTTTTCTTTGGTTTTTTGATTTGTGGCTGTCTCATACGCGCACACACAGAGTAGTTACTGCTGTGTCTTACTTTTCTTTGTCTGCCTCAAAGGCTGTTTTCTCTTTGATAGTCCTGCTTCACAGAGCTTTGTTTGCCTCTGTCGTTCCCCACCTCTTCTAGTGCTTCTCTTTGTTTCATGAAAGGGAGGGTGGCAGCATTTCCACTTCTAGCAAGGTAGCTGGTATGTTGCTGAAATGACTCGTCTAATGGGCTGTTTCCCAAGTGCTGGTGTGTGTGTGTGTGTGTGTGTGTGTGTGTGTGTGTGTGTGTGTGTGTGTGTGGATGTGTGAATACTGGCCGTTGCGTAATGCTGGATATGATAGTGTGATACAAGAGACCTTTTTTCTGAAAAGAAAATCCCGTCTAAAGCAGGGAACAGAAACATGCTGCAGAGGAAGCGGGTGACCTGCTGTCAGACATTAATAGTATTTATTTATTTTTTTCAAAAACCTTGAAATTGTAAGAAAACAACGCTGAACGACTGTTTCCAAATCCAGACTTTGTGCCTCTGCATCCATCCTTCATATCCGTCGATAACAGTTAGTTAGGGTTAGTGTTGATGCAACTGCGTTGTGTTTTTCATGGGACAAAGAGTGGCGCTTGACCTATTTCATAACAAAAGTATTGATTATGGGGATTGATGTGGTGGTTACACAACAACTAAAAGATCAATATTGTTTCTAAAACATTATCAGAAAGATGAGATGATGCCTTTTTGCAACTGCAAACTGCAGAGTGTGTTTTCTTTAACTCGTCTGTTCAACGGTAGCTCTTTTCTCGTTTCAGTTGCCGCCATGCCACCATCTCAAAGTTTTTCGGCAACACGGCGCCGAACTGCGCGGGGGCCTGCGACTACTGCCGTAACCCCAAGTTGGTGCGAGCGCAGCTGGAGAGAGCGGCCACGCTCAGCACCAAGATCGGTGCGGCTCAGAGCAGCGAGCCTAAGGGAGCGTTCGGGTTCCAGCCGGACACTTATGGAGGAGGAAAGAAGGGTTACGGCTTTGAAAGGCAGGACGATTTTTAGTGATGTTGTGTGAAATGTCCCGCTTGCATTTATGACTTGATGGTTGATCCTGTAGGTTAACACCGATGTTTTGCTTCGCAGGTATGACGAAGGGGAAGGTTATAGTGAAGATGATCCTTTTAAGAGGAAGAAGGAGTTTTCTGAGCTTTTCAAGAAGCAGATGAGCATGCGGAAGGTGATTACCACAAAAAAAGAGAGAAAATCAGCTCATACTCTTTGGGTAAAATATATACGTTATTTCTAAATGTAAGGACAGCATCTCCAGAGTGTTTGTGTTGTGCCTCTGCACATCTGTAAGCCATCTGGGGCTATCAGGCCCTGTAAATGCTGCTTTTGCTAAATGGCTCCCACATGTTCAGTGGAATTTTTACAACATTTGAACTAAAGTATTCCTCATCAGGTCCAAGAGGAGGTTGGCCAAACTGTTTATAACATAGCATAAAAAGCAGGAATGCCATGATTATTTAAAAAAAGTAGAAACTGAGCAGGAAGAACAAACAAGTCATTATAGTGTGTGGAGAGTTATGGAGGTTATTGATGCCTCAGGGCTTCGTTGCTCAGAGCTTCATTTAAATGTTGCTAGCTTAAAACTATGGTTCTTTTATCTTTCTTTCTTTATACATTAAAGAGACATTCTGCACTTCAACTACACATGCACAGGCTTTTGGACGATGATAAAATGTTGTTAATTGTGGTGGATATTAAATCAAGCCATCATGATGCGATTGAAGTGCCAACTTTCAGCTTTAACTCTGAAAGTTTTTACAAAACTGTCGCATTAGCTGTTTGGAAGCTACAGACATTTGTACACACAGTCCCCCGTTATCCGTCTTTGTGTTATTTTCATGAAATGTTAAGCAGAAGAATATCAGAGGTGGATTAGACTGAAAAAACAAAGTAACTATCAGAGAGAGAGAGTGGCCAATCACACAGTCATGTTCTTTCTTAAAAATGCTGAGTGCACTGACCAGCTCAGCAACATCAAAACGCCTGAAAAACGTGGATGATGACGGAATTATTTCTATGGTTATGAAAAACATCCTTAAAATGTCTAAAAAAAAAAAAAAAAGTCTTTAACAGTCATCATTAACAACGTCTAAAATGGAGATGGCTCGATGAATGGAAACAGAAAGGCTAGATCACAAAATATCCAAAAGAGCCTGAAAACAGTTCAGCGCTGAGAGAAATCTGGAGATGGAGAGAAACGGCTCGTGATTGGAAGCATACCACATCACCTGTCAAACATGGCGGAGGCAGTGATCTAGATGGGCATGTGTGGCTGCCAGCGGATATAGATCACTAGCTTTTATTGATGATGGTGACTGCTGATGGATGTGCACAGGCCTATACTCTCTGCTCAGATTCAGAAAAATGCTGCAAAACTGATCCGAGCTTCACAGCACAAATGGAAAATGACACAAAGCAACTCAAGAGTTTCTGAAGGAGAAGAAATGGAAGATTCTTCAATTGCCAAGCCAGTCAGCTGATCTCTAACCAACAGAGCATGCTTTAAAGTTATTAAATACAAAGCTAAATGCAAAGAGACTCAAACAAGAAGCAACTGAAGGTGGATGAAGTCCAGGCCAAGCAGCTCAAGGGGGGAAACGGCAGGCTACGCTTCATCCAAGTATTAAAAACAATCTATATTCGTTTCTCCAGTTCATTTTAATAAACAGTTAATGCAGAATTATTTGATAACCCCTTAAATTAAATGAGAAAGTCTGCACATTCAGTGATGTGATGTGTACAGAAGCAAAACAACAAAAAATTGCGTCGTGGTCCCAAAGCCATATATAATAAATGCTCACTGTTGTCTTCTATGTTCTGGCTTTAATACACGTGTGAATACTGAAGGCTTCCCTTCTGCCTGTGCTCGTGTTTATTTAGGGTAACGACAGCAGCCAGAGGGAAGAGTTTGTTCCTCCAGGTAACGTGTAACACGAACAGTAAAAATGATTGTGAATAACTCTCTCTGTCCTGTTTTGTAACCGGTGTTATTCTGCTGTGTAGATATCGACTGCCCGCTTAGAGAGGCCAGCAGCCAGAGAATTCCCAAGCTCAGTGTAAAGGTACAAGACAAAACTTGAACACTACGCACACATTCCTCATATCTGCTGCATTTATGAACACGTCCTTCAGCGACTCAGGTCATGTGATGAGAAAAGCAGCGTTTAAAAAAAAACAAAACGCAGCAGCTTAAAAGGCTGTGGCTCGTTGGCGTTTGACATTTTGTACAGTAAAAGCAGAAAGTGAGCGTTTTCCGAGGCGTTAATAAGATTCATATTGTATTTCAGGCCAGAGAGCACTGCCTGTACCTCCTGCAGGAGGCGCTTCAAGGCCAGCAGGGGGCAGAAGATGCACTCAAGTACTTATCTAGATTCATTCTGATTTTATTTTTTTGGTTTTTTTTAAACATTTTTTCCTCAAACATAAAAATACTGCAAAAAAAAAAAATACATACAACTAACTTTTCTCAAAGTGTCGGCATTTGTCTCTCAGCTCTGACAGTCTGTCCTTGGCGGTGGATATTGAACACGAGGTCTTCAGAAACAGCAAGTCCTCTAACTTGTACAAAGCTGTGGTGCTAAAGAAGGTAAGTGCAGGCTTTTTGTTAATGTCTCATTGCCATATAGAGGGAAATGTTTATGCTTAGCTCTATTATTCTGTCAAGGTAACAGAGATGAAGAAAGCGGCACCTGCTTCAGCAGGTCGAGATAAAGCAGAAGGTGCTAGGAGCAGCAGCGGCAGCGATTCCAGAGAAACAGAACTCAAAGAGGCTGGATCCTCCTCTTCATCCTCGTTTTCTGATGAGCCGCAGGGGTTCACGCTGGCATCTGAGGTGTACTCGGTAACATTGCTTTTCTACTTTCCCAGATTTTTTTTTGATTTTTTAAAAATTTTTTTAAAAAGGAAAACTGGAGGTTTTTGTGGCTGCAGAGTATTCAGAGGAAAACATGTTTTCTTCCCCCCCAGCTGAAGCGTAAGAGGGTAGGGGCAGGCCAACGGGGCTCTTCTAACCCCTTCATAACTGCTAAGGATTTAATAAACCCCTCCATGTTGGAAACAGGGGCTAACAAAGGTAGGACAAGCGGCGGATTTTTCAATGGCTACTCAGGAGAAACCATTATGCAGGGAAAAGAAGCCAACACAGATGCATCATCGCCCATCAAAGCCAAAGCAAATGCCGTCACGACCTCCCTGAGCAGCCCGACTAAAGGAGGCAGAGCCATGAGCAAGAAGCAGCAGAAGCTGGCGGAAGCAGCAAAGAGTTCCCACAACATTTCTCATTTTTTCATGAAGAAACATACTCCAGAGAAAAGCCAGGATGAGGAGGAGATGCCGAGGGAGCCCGAAGCCGCTTTATCTCCCGCTCCAGCTTCCATCTCCCAGGAATACATCAACCAGGAACCACACTCACCTGCTGCGTCAGAAGGAGAGAGCAGTGCTGCACAGTCAGAGACTGAGGATGTGATCCTCGTAGAAAACAAATCTGAGATAATTGTTATACCTGATGATGACGAGGAGGACGGAGCTGATATTGCAGAACCAGTTCAAGAGACATCTGAGCAGGACCTGACGTCCATCACAGAGTATTTGATTCTTAATTTGATCAGAAATAGCGGAAAAAAGCCTTTTATTGACTTTTAACTGCTTTTTCTTCCCCCTGTTCTCCCACAGACAAAACAAAGACGAAGAAGAACTTAAACCAAGTGAAGAAGAGGTTAACACAAGTGAAATTCCCGGGGTAGGTGTCTGTACACCCACAAAAGTCCTTCTTGAAACAAGTCTTTCCGCTCAGCAGTTTGAAGCTAGATGAAGTGCTCCAAAGGCTTTATAAGTTTGTCCAAAAATAAGACTTTTGGACAAATGTATAAAGACAAAATAAGACAAAGTAAAGTTTTAAGAGATTAGAGTTTGAGCATGATAATCTGTTTTACACTCAGATTGGGGGTTTTTCCACAGGAAGTCAGTTGGCATACAATTTTAGCATTCACTGTATGGACAAAAGAACTGGGCCACCTACACATTCAGCAACTGCTCGAGCAACTCATGGAAACTCATGACATGAAGCTCCTGGCGCACAGTTTCTGTGCTGATGTTAATGCCAGAGGTTTTGAGCTTGGCAGTTATTCAATCAGTGGAGCTTTAGCAACTTTTACGAAATACCAAATAGCGTGTTCGACAAAGCACCTGAAGTATGCAGGAGTGGGTCGAAATCTGTCACTCTTCAGTTTTCCTTATAATTTCCTGCATAGCTTCAGACAATATTGAATTATCAGTATAGAAAAACACATTTAGCCTCTTTCCACAATCCACACAATCTAAATCCAAAGTCTCGTTTTTGTTCAGCATAATTTCTCTTTTCTATAACAGACTGAGCATCAGCATGATGGGGATAGATATTAGTTTTAATAGAAAACTCCTCATTAAAGTCCATGTTGTAAAGAAGGGATGTCAAACTCATTTTACATCGTGGGCCACGTACAGATCACTTTGATCTTAAGTGGGCGGCCCAGTGAAACTCCTTTCTGATAGTGTAAAGATGTTTAGCCACACATTTAATCCCCTATATTTAAATATATCTGTTCTGTGAACCATCTGTAAAAATCATAAATTTCTCTAGTATGTTGTGAAGGAACAGTAACACTCTGTTATTTAATGGTTTATCTCTTACTTAGAGATGTCTATTAGGACCATGGGGGGAAAGCCATTAAACATATGAAAATACAGTTAAAATTCTAAAATTTATACCATCCTATACATTTTCCAAAGATATCCAGATTGGAGTCTTTGGCAGGCCAAACCATAGATCTCAGTTCTGCCTGGAGTCCTGAGTCTGACTTTATGCTTGTGAACAATCATGACATGTGTGTCCAGGTGACAGATGACATGAAAACCATGACGGAGTCTCCCCCTCCGGCGAAGCGCAGCCGGCCCGGGAATGAGAGCAGCAGGAGAGTAACCTTCAACCCCAACGTGCAGGAGAGAGCCCTGCACCCGGCCACTGACTCGCCCAAGCCTGTAACACTTAAGGAAGCAGCTGATATCGTGGTCCGCTACCTGGACCCTTTTTACACTCAGGGAAAGTTTGCCACAAAGGTGAGCGAGTGCTGTGTTTGTAAAAAAGTAGGTTTGCGATTAAAAGCAGAATGATTAAAATTCTTTCTTTATTTCGCAGGAGCTGTTTAAGTCTTTCGCTCGCTACCTGTCTCACCTTCTTACAGAGGGAAGGAGCAGGGGGAAAGGCCAAGGTAAAGGGTGCATGGGAAATTTCTAACTTGCAGTTTGCTTTGTGTGCTGGTCCTCTTTAACTCCAGCCTCTGGGTCCACAGTGAAAGCAGAGGCCAAGGCTCTCATCAAGAAGTTCTTCAGCAGCGTCCAGCGCTGTGAGAGCGAGGCAGACTGGAAGCACCTTAAGAGACCTCACAGCTGTAAAACCACAGCCAAAAGTGAATGAATGGGGGGAGGAAATATGTAGCCCTTCCTCTTTGACAGTGCCTAAACTTCTCCGGTTACGATGACCTCAGGCTTTGTCACAGATGCCTGCTGACGAGGTTTATGGTCCACTTGCTGCTATTTTGTTATTCTTTTAAAATGTTTTCCAGGATGGTTGCTGATACTGTAACTTGGGTTAATAAATAGTAAGCATTAAAACAGGGACAGTTTTGCAGCCTGAGAGATCAGACAGATGCATGTGTGAGACTTCTTTTTAAACTGCAAACTGTGTGTAATTCACATGGCCTTATTACATCACAGTGCAGAGTTATGCAGACCCAGTGGTGCTTGGAGCAGGAAGCCAGCTGAGGTTTTTCACAGGCTTCTCATAGCAGGAAAAGCAGAGGTGTAATTATTGGCATTCAAACAACAGCGTGCGATTTTGAGCAAGCTGGTTTGGGGATCTTCCGATGTTGCCATACTGGAACATTTAATCCCTTCTCTTTGTGTGTGTGTGTGTGTGTGTGTGTGTGTGTGAGTGTGTGAGAAAGCTAAAATACTGGTTTGTTGTACAGTGTCTGCAGCCCTCTGTTCAGGAAACATTAAAAATGCCGTCACAGTTGTCCTCTGATAGCCGTCTGTCACGTTTAAGATGACATTCATGGTTGGGTGGTGTTTAAAGATGGGGTCGTGAAGAGCAAAAAGACTTTGAAGCTGTTATTATTTTCTTTTTAATAAATTTTTTGTGCTATTAAAAAGGGAATAAATAAGCCATGATTTCCTTGTTTCTCTGAAAGTTCAAAGTAAGTCATTGAGATTCATTCCCTGGGGGGGGGGGGGTTCGCGTGTAAGTCAACGGGGGAATAAAATGCACAAAACACATGTTTTAATGCTTCTGTTTCTGGCAGACTATCTTACTTGCTCTTAAATTTTATGTTTTTGTTTATTCGTCTTAAATACTGGAGCCAGTTTTGTTTTTTTTTATTCATGCAATCTACTGTGAAACTGTCCAGCTTGAATTTTCCTGTATTTAAAAATATTCTGTCTCTCAGCAGGGGGAGAATCTGTGATGCAGGGCTTTTTCTTTTTCTTTTCATTTCCTAAAACATGGTTTCCAATGATGAAAGCATATAAAAGGCGACTGTATCAGTCCCCACAGTCGGGAAGAAACCAAAAGCAAAGATGGCCACTGAGGCCCAGCTGTGGGGAGTCCTGGTGGCCACAGTGGAGCCAATCTGTGCTGCAGATTGTTCACAATAAAGTCTGTGTCGAATACAAAGTACCAAACAGTGTGAGACGTCTCTTATTATTGTTGTTGTTATTATTAACTGTACAGGAGACGTCCCTGGTGGGGACGCTGTCAAGTAAACGATGATGTCATCTTTAGTAGTGCTGCTTTCAGGAACTCCTGCTAACGTAGGACTCAAGAGCCTCCCACTTTTTATGAGTAATGTCATTGCTTATGTTGGTAAATACACAGTAGTCAACATCATTTACGAAAAGGGTGTGTATATATTTTAATCTTCATGATTATGTGTTAATTTACCTACATTATAAAGAATCCGGCCCTTTTTGGCCACTTAAAATGTGTTTATAGTACCATTATGTTTTACTTGTTTCAATTTCCGCTGGCCCTTTTGGCCAGATCTCTCTTTTGTAAGCTTTGGATAGTGGCCGGATCAATCCAAATATCAATAGTATTGATACGAACGCTGATATTGGTATCGGCTCAATATCAATATTTGCAGTACTGCACAGTAAAATGGTCTGTTAAAAAAGTCTATTAACCTCACTGATAAGGTAAAAACAGCACTGAATTCTTTAAGGGAACAGTAGAAGAAGAATCTCAAAAGACTAACGTTGCAAACAGCACTTTTCTCCCACAGCACATAAACGCAGCACCAGCAGCGCTCGGTTACTCGGTTGCCGCCAGGCAGCCAGTCTGCGTCCGCTGCTGCGGCTGCACATCAAAGCCTGATGAGACACCGAGGAGACGCTGTCAGCCTCCTCCAACCTGCTTCACGTCGAGGCCGCTCGGATGCGGGGTGCTTCATATCTGCGGACGCTTCGAGAAGAAAAAGGAGAAGGAGCAGGTGCACCGAAGTCCCCGCCGCCGAGGTTTCCTCTCTCTGAGTGATTTGGGGGGGGGGAGCTGTTGTTCGTTGTCACTTCCGGGCGAGCAGTCGGTACCACCGGCAGCTCACATCGCCGGCGGAGGAGGAGAAGAAGAGGAAGTTCGGCAGCATCGATGCTTCGCGCGGGGAGGATGGAGGAGTTTGTCACGGAGGAAGAGGAGCCGTGGTACGACCAGCGGGACCTGGAGCAAGGTGAGCCCACTCCTCCCAACCCCACCCCTTTTCTATTAGCAACCGCTGGCCCCCGGGTGTTCATGCATTTAGAGGTGGGTGGAAAACCGGGAGGAGGTTGCACCTCTTAAAGGCAACTCATGCACGAGTTGGAGCTGCCTGCCCTTCATCTCATCAATTACTCCGATCCTGTCAGCGGTGGTTCGGACAGCAGTCCTCCTGTCAGACTGACTGAATGTCTTCCTCTCATCTCAAGCTGTTTTTCTCGCTCAAATCCATCAGCCCACTTGCTGTGGAGCTGCATGACGTTATTTTGAGTGTATGTTCCTAACAAAAAGGTCAGCACAGTGTGTGCAACAAATCCCCAGAACTTTGTAGATTTTTGAATAAAATGAAAGAAGCAAAGAGCAGCAAAGGCAGCTCAGACTGTTTATTGTTGCTCCTCCTTGCTGCTGTGTGACCAGCCCTGCCAGAAAAATGGCTTTAAAAGGCTGCAGTTTCACTGAGAGTGCGTCTGAGGGGAGCTGTGCTCTGGAAAGCCTGCGTCCTCCTGCAGCAGCATCACCCCATCTCCTGATTACCTGCTGACCCATAGAGCTAAAGCAGCTTTGTAGCGTCATTGTACAGCGTGCATGGAGAGGCAGGTGGATTTGACTCCCTGTGTGTGTGTCCATCATCAGAATTTCATCTCAGCATCATTCAGCATACAGACTAAAGTCATTAGCCCCCCCAACCCCACTCTGTCCCCATCCCGCAGGCTGATCTGATTAGGGAGCCCCGGACGAAGCCTCCTTAGTGGAGATCAGAGATTTGAGGCTTTTCGGGGTCAGACTGGAAGCGTAATTACCGTCAAGCTCTCACTGTGCCACACAAATACACTGCGTGCACTTTAGAGCCTGGCATCATTTTGCCCCAGAAATGATGCTGTGTTATGCAACTTTTCTGCTGCCGGATCTACTATTTGGTGACACCACCCCCCTCGCCTACCCACCCCCTACCTCTGTGTGGTTATTAGAATCAGGCAAACATGGAAAATGAGTCCTGGCAGATGGTGTGGTTAGTCCTGCAGCTTCATCTGACCTGTGAGGGGGTCCTGTTGCATGAGGAGTTAGAGTTCAGTCCCTGTGATGAGGATGACTTTCTCAGCAAGGCCTCCTGCACAGAACTCAGAAGTTATATAACAGAAGACTCTCGGCACGTGCCCGCCACAGGGACAGAAGCGGCGCCATGACTGTGAGGTGCCGTGCGAACTCTCCTCCAACGCCTCTTCCTCAGCTCATTAGCGCTCTCCGGTTCAGGCTGGAGTTTTGCTATCTCTTCTGTCTTGTTGAAGCATGTCCTTGCCTCCCCTCGCTGCGTTTTAGGCGACAGAGAGGATGCACAGCGTGCACAAATGGAGCTTGTTAAATATGTTAGATAAGGCAGAGGTGTTACATGCAAATGAGCCCAATCGGCTCTAATCTTTTGGGTTTTACACCTGCAGAACTGCATGCATGCAGGCTTGTGTTTTTATCCTCTGCGTTGGGTTGAAAAAACACTCCATTCACTGCTCAGTAATGGATGTCAGTGCCTCTCTGTCTCCTCCCGTCCCTCCACTCCCCCATGTTTGTTATGAGCTTCAAGTATACAGAGCCAGCAGGATTCTCCTCCTCTTCAGTCCAGCTTGTTTTTATCCACCAGAGGAGGATGAATAATGGATGCTTCACGCTGTGTCAGAAAATATCAGCAACTGTTAAGGTGTTGTCAGAGCTCAGGCTCCTGCTGTGCGCACAACTGCAGGCTTTTATCAGCATGATGTGAAGAGAAACCAATCTGCAAGACAACTATTGTGATCTTTAAAATAAATGCACGGTAATATTTGGTGCCTGTTCTCTTTATCTTGGTTTTCATTAAGTCATCCACAAACAAGCCTGAACAACTGGTTTTAGCCGTAAAGCCCTGAGAGCGAACTCTGCTTATGTCTGTCCTTCTCTCCCATCTCTCGTCAGACCTGCATTTGGCAGCGGAGCTCGGCAAGACCCTCCTGGAACGCAACAAAGAGCTGGAGGACTCTCTGCAGCAGATGTACATCAACAACGAGGAGCAAGTGCAAGAGATTGAGGTGTGCTACCCCTGGGCTGCTGCCTGTCTGTGTTCCTTTTCTACTCAGTTATGGTGTAAAGTGAGGGGAAGAAATGGCAGAAAGCAGCACGAGTGTGTGAGAAGAAAAAAACACGTGCAGAATGCGTCAGCCTCTTCACAGCTCAAAATCTGCATGTGGTGTTAGCGACGAGGCTCGCCGAGGGTAAAGTAAACACCTGATGAGAGCCTCTGAAAATGTATTCTCAGTCTTAGAGATAGACACACAAAGTCAACGTATCGAATTTTGGCGAAACCTGTATATAAACTCGTTAGCCACTATATTAGGGACACCTTACTAGTACTGAGTTGGACCCCATTTTCCTTCTGCGCTGTCCTAATTTTTTGTGGTACAAATTTCAAGTCAAGTCAAGTGGCTCTATTGTTATTGCAACCATGTGCAGTGATACAGTACACAGTGAAACGTTCCTCCGAGGCCATGGTGCTACATATGACATATAACAGGCAATCTACACAGCGCTGCATAAAGTGCAATGTGCAAAAAATGCAAAAAAACAAAACAAAGACAGTGCAACACCAACCTGAACAGAACGATACAGACACAACACAGTGCATGCACAACAGGGCAATAGAAATGTGCAAAAGACTGAGCATTGTGCAAAAAGCCACTTGGTATATGAGGATGAGGGTGTGTGTGTGTGTGTGTGTTAATCCAGTCACTGAGTGTTCGGGAGTCTGACAGCTCGGGATAAGAAACTGTTTCGCAGTCTAGCAGCGAGGGCCTGATTACTCCGGTATCTCTTGCCCGAAGGCAGCAGGGTGAAGAGTGTGTGTGG